GAGCATTTAAATATTTCAAGAACTAGATTTTACCCTAATTTAAGCACTAATTATGTTCTTACACAATACAATTAAACTATGGACATACATTTACACTTCCTTTAAGGTTTAAGTGTGTTGTTTATTAAGGTCCTTGTTTGTTTCTTTTATAAGTATAGGTGGTGTGCCTATTGCTTTTCAATGTATTCTTAAAATACATAAAATACTGTAGCAGCAAGAAGCAAAGTAAAACACTATTTTGAAGTGAACTGACCTTGAGTATATAAAACAAATATAATTTTGAAAACAATTCTGAATCCACGGAAAGCAAGCCCATAAATCACCTCTCTTGCTATCTTTCAATAGAGCATAATAAATAGATTCTTACATGTGCAATGTGTGATCACTCAGCTAATATTATTTTAGCAATCCACAGGAGTGCTTCATTACTATAACTGCTGCACAGAAGGAAGCTTCGTAGTTATCATTTTACCTTATAATACATCCAACTAGTATAAATCAATCTGAATGTTCTTGGAGCATCCACTTTACTGGCTGTACAAAGAAAGCTGTGTATTCTTGTTCTATTTTTACTTCTGGAAAAAAATTGGCTTTATCAGCCAAGCAAGATTTACTGGAAAAGTACCCATGCTTAGCTTGTTCCCCATGTCACTTGGGGATACAAATTGTATTCCCTTTAAGAATTTTTTTGCAAGTTGTTTTACACTTAACTACTGCTATTTAGAAAGGAATATTAATAACAGATTATGTAGCTCTCTGTCATGATTCCTAGTAATGAGGGTGTAATTCCTTGCAATGATTGGAGGAGACAATAACTTGAATATTAAATTAAAACACCTTACTTTAAAGTATTTGGTAAAGACTGTGACATTTGAACCCATAAACCTATAGTAGATTAAACTTAAAGGAACACTTCAAACACCTAAATCGCTTTATCAGGCAAAAGTGATCTATGTGTGAAAAGTGTGTCCTCCAAAAGACGAATGGATGAATACAAATTACACCAAATGAAATGAAGTACGAATTGCTTGTTGAACAAAATTTTGTCCATGCAATTCATTCATTGTTTGTTAGTTTTAGTTAATTATAAGGTGGTTGCCATGGGCTCACATCTCCCTCCTTGTAATATTTAAAAATAAATCCCCCCCATGCCGCTTGACTAATGGTGGTCAATATGAGCTGCTCACTGTGGCGCTGCGACCTTCTTTCTTCATCTTGCATCTTACCTACTACCAGAAAGAAGAAGACTCTGGCTTTGGTTGTCCTAGCTGCCTACTAACATTATTGGAAGTGCTAAAAATCCTTTTTTTATTTCAAATCTCAAGATTTACCTGGCTTATGCAACCAATCAGAGCTCTGACTCAAATTGCATGGCACAGGACAGCCTAGCCATCAGGGAGTGGGACATTAGGTATACCCAGTGGCGTACACATGACCCATGGGGCCCCGGTGCGAAAATTGATCCGTGCCCCCCCCCCCGCACGCGGGCCGGGCCGCGCCGCAACACATGGCGGTGGGCACCTGGTCGCAGGGGTTACAGGGCTGCGACACCTGCGACCACGGTATGTACGCCAGTGCATGCAGATGCACACACACTTAAAGGACCCCTCTAGGCACCCAGACCACTTCAGCTTAATGAAGTGGTCTGGGTGCCAGGTCCAGCTAGGGTTAACCCATTTTTTCATAAACATAGCAGTTTCAGAGAAACTGCTATGTTTGTGAATGGGTTAAACCTTCCCCTATTTCCTCTAGTGGCTGTCTCATTGACAGCCACTAGAGGCGCTTGCGTGCTTCTCACTGTGATTTTCACGGTGAGAGCACGCCAGCGTCCATAGGAAAGCATTATGAATGCTTTCCTATGTGACCGGCTGAATGCGCGCACAGCTCTTGCCGCGCGTGCGCATACAGCCGACGGGGAGGAGAAAAGGAGGATCGGAGGAGGAGAGCTCTCCGCCCAGCGGTGGAAAAAGGTAAGTTTTACCTCTTTCCAGAGCCGGGCAGGTGGGGGTCCCTGAGGGTGGGGGCACCCTCAGGGCACTATAGTGCCAGGGAAATGGTGTATGTTTTCCTGGCACTATAGTGGTCCAAAGCACCACTACAGACACCTGTGATCATCAGCTCAATGAAGTGTTCCTGGGTGTCAGGTCCCTCTAGTTTTAACCCTAAGCAGCTGAAAACATAGTACTTCTAGAGAAATGTAAAACACACACCTCACTAACAGACATCAAACAGACTCACTAACACACACACTCAGGTAAGACAGCCACACAGTACACCTTTACCTGACACCTACTCAGCATTGCCACACACTACACCCCCACACTAACACTCACACACACTAATACTCACTAGCAGACACACACACTAACACTCACTCTAACACTCACACACACTACACTCACTAGCAGACACACACACTAACACTCACTAGCAGACACACACACTAACACTCACTCTAACACTCACACACACTAACACACACTAACACTCACTAGCAGACACACACTCTAACACTCACTAATCACAATAACTTGAAACAATTATTTAAGAAACAAAGATCCAGTATGTCATCATTCATTAATGGGACACTATTGTCACCAGAACAACCACAGCTTATTGTATTTGTTTTGGTGAGTATAATCAGTCTCTTCTGGCTTTTTGCAGTAAACATTTTTCAGAGAAAAGGCAGTGTTTACATTACAGCCTAGGGATACCTCCAGTGGCCAATCCTCAAATGGCTACTAGAGGTGCTTCCTGGGGCAGTACTGCACAATGTGCAGCACTGACATTCAGTGTCTCCACCCTCTGCATTGAGACACTGAACCTTCCTCATAGAAATGCATTGATTGAATTAATCTCTATGAGGAGATTGGACCGTGTTTGGCTTCAGCTCACGCCTCCGTCCTGATCAGGAGTGCAGCCGCGGGCTTTCTTATAGCCATCAAGAGTCATTTAGCAAACAGAGTTTTTCACGCAATGCATGTTGGGTGTTTTTGTGAGGTCTCTCTTGATGGCTGGAGGGAGGCAGACACATGAGCGGAGCATGAGCTTGTGCCAGAAAACAGAGAGTCGTGGATAAAACACACAACCGCCCACCATGAAGAGGAGGATCGGAGGAGGAGAGCTCTCCGCCCAGCGCTGGAAAAAGGTAAGTTTTACCCCTTTTCCCCTTTCCAGAGCTGGGCGGGAGGGGGTCCCTGAGGGTGGGGGCACCCTCAGGG